CAAACTGATCTAGTGGAAGGTGTCCCTGCCCATGGCAGGGGGATTGGAACTAGATGGTCTTTAAGGTCCCTTCCAACCCAAACCATTCTATGATTCTATGATTCTATGATAATTAATAACAGACGTTCTTCTGCTATGTTTTCTATGTAGGAGCTCAATCAAGTAACCTCAGGCCATTTTTCTTTTCTGTTCTTTGCCACCCTAAAGATAGGAGAGCAAACGTTCTTGTGTTGCAAGCAAATACACTTGACCAAAACAGAGACCATCTTAAATGAAAAGCATGTAATGGCAGGAGCTGCTGCTGAAAAGGCAGACTAAAGAGATACAGGGAGAAAGATTATAACTATGACCACTGAACATCAGACGTAGCAAGTACACTTAGTACATAAGGTGATAGTGAACTGTGGATTGCAGGGAAACTAACTAGTGAAATTTAGATAAAGCTTTTGCTCCACAGAAATTTATTGATTATGAGGTCTGAGCAAAAGCAATTGCCTGAAAGATTTTTCCCACATGTTTAATGAGATATTAACTGCAAGATTTTGTTAAAAACATGTGGAAAAAAAAAAAAGTGGTGCTTTGTTCACTCTAAGTTGTAATACCTATATAAATATTAAGATGATAGAATAATCTGCTCCAACACTTCCGTCTGTATTAGTATAACTGTTGCACTGGACTGCTCTTTTGCTGAAGAGCAACAGTATGTCTACAACCATTTACATATCTGCTGCTGCCAGATCTTGTAATGACAAGACTCCAGTTCAAGGAGTAAGTTTGTGGCAATGTTCTGCAGTACATGGTGTCGTAAGGGCATATATGGTATGAATGCAAATTTAAAAAAAAAAAATTAAAATGAACCTCAGATGTTAATTGTAATCCCCTACTTATTTTCTGATTTAACTGCAAGTATATTGTTCTGGAAACTGCTGACAAATACTGACTGTATAATAACTAGCACTATGCTGTTCTTGTACCTTTTGCATAGAACAAATTGACACCAATGGAGTTCTACCTCTACAAGAGCTGCTGTGATATCATGGGCTGCACAGTGAAGCCCTA